ACTGAGCCATACTAGAGTTAGAACTGGATTTTATTTATCCATTTACCAGTTATTAGATATTTGGGTTGTTTCCACTTTTCAGCTATTATGAATAATGCTGCTATATAAATTCATGTACAGTTCTCTCTGTTGATGTATATTTTCATTCATTACAGGTAGATATCTAGTAGTGAGATGACAGGGGAAATTTATGTTTAACTATTGATTTAAGTTTTTTTTTTTTAATTTGGTGAGACCACGAGGAGACTGGCTGGGCCACACTGTGGGAAATAGGAGACAGCATCAGGACATGGAGCCTGATGGGGCCTGCAGGTGCCCTTTCCCCTCGGACTAGCAGGATAAGTATTATGTTTCTTTCTGCAGTTTGAAGGTCTGTCATTTTCCAGGAGTCTTGCTTATTTTTAAACTTAAGACTTAGGTTTTCTGGAGTGTAGAATCTCAGCATAAGAAAAAAAAAAAAAGTCCCCAGAGTGACTCGGTAAAGTTTGTTCTAAAAAAAAAAAAAAAAAAAAAAAAAAAAAAAAAAAATCCTGCTGAGCAGTCATAAATAGCTTGCTGGATATGAATTTAAACAGACCAAATTTGAAATTTTATTCTAATTCAAAGCATGTTGTACAGCCTTGGTTTCAGATTGGCAATTCAAATGCTTTCCCAGATAATACAGAGGGACTTTAAGATAAACTAAGGCCACCGCAAAAGAGGAAAGGCAATTGGATGCCGAACTTCACTGATAACGAGAGGCACGATAATCTGATGGTTACTTTCTGGTTGGCTTGTTCAGAGATAGAGTGATTAACCACATCACAAATCCTTTACCTATTGCAAAGCTATTCTAATAGGTACTTTCTAATGTTTTCTCAGGAAGGTCTTTGGGGCTTCTGTTACTGGAATTAGGATCATTTATTAAGACTTGAATTAACTAAGGTATATATTGTTCTGAAGAAGGCTTCTTCCTTTCAGTAAATACGTGTGCCTGCTACGTGCCAGGCATTATATCGTACTGGAAATACCAAGCTGAACAAAACATCATCTCTATATCCTGTGAATTATGTACTCTGTCTTCACGCCAAACCATAGCCTGATAGTGACGCACACACGAAACAGATGAGGTGATGGGATGTGCCATCTCATTTATGCCTGTAGTTGCAGCCTTAGCCTACACCAGTGAGTCTCAGTTGTGGGTGATTTTGGCAACGCCTAGAGACATTTTGGTTGTCATACCTGGAGGGATGCTACTGGATTCTGGTGGATAGAGGTCAGGGATGTTGCTGAACATCTGCAATGAACGGGACAGCCCTCACAACCAAGAATTATTCAGCCCACAATGTCAAATAGTATTGAGGTTAAGAAACCCTGGCAGAAAGGAACATAAAATGATAGGGAATGGCTCTAGCAATGAGTCTCTCTTGACAAATATGATCAATGTGGTGGAGAAATGTGAAATGGAAATGAATGTGACTTATAAGAATCTAAGTGCGTGGCTGGTGTGATGAGTATAACATAGACTTGTCATGATGATATTTCTTTGGGAGAAAGGAAGCCCATCTTTATAGGATTGATGCCAATATGGGGCTGTATTACTCCTTGGAGTAGAGGATTCTTTATGTTGGGGGCTGTTCTGCAGGATGTTAGGTATTCTCTGGCACACACTAATGCCTGCAACACATCCTGGGCATTGTGACAAATCCAGATACTGCCTGTGCTTCTAAATGCCCAGAAGGCCATTGTTGAGAACCTTTAGGAAGGAGCATAGATGAAGTGTCCAGAAATGTGGACTCTAGGTGAACTTGGTAATTCTTATTGGAAGTAATTTTACCTCTTTGAGTTGAGTGCATCTACAAAAACAAGGGGTGGGGTTTAGTTCAGGGGTATTCAAAGTAAGACATCTGCATCCATTTTAGTGCAGGAAGAACATCTTAGAACTTCTGTAATTTTTGTTTATTTCTTGTTATTTTTAAAAATGGCAATTTTATGTGTGTTTCCTAGTGTGCCTGGCAAGGATAGTAGCATGAATACCAGGCATGCTTAGTAGTGTTTTATTTGAAGGACTGCACCATCAGAGAAGTTGGGGACTCAGAGCTTTTCCCATTCTGACAGCCTAAGTTATAGGAAAGGATGTCATGGAAGCCAGAGGCTTTCTAGCCACAGGTTTACCTCTGCAGAAGGACACACAAGGTGATGGATGTCAGTGTCATTGAGAAGCAGCCCCCACCGAGCCCCATCCCCCGGCCTGTGGAGACTGGCACAGGGCTTTGGGCGAAACAATGACATGTTCCCTGGTGACACAGAGTTAGAATATTTTAAAACTGGCAAGCCACCAGAGTTTTTCAAATTATTCTCTACATGAGTGTGGAAAATACTATTCCCTGACAGAAAATTTGATTCACACTTTATAAAGAGAATGAGGCCATGGTTGAATTGCATAATCACCGCTCACAAGAGGGCCCTGAGTAGAAACGGTCTCTTCCAATGTTGCCCACTTCAGCATGAACAGAATAGCACGCTTGTTTTCAAACACTCATGCTACACCACATTGAGCAACTCAGTAGACTTTATATTCTTAAGACAACTCTTTGGAAGCTGCTTGGAGGCTTAGTTCTTGTTCAGTCCCCTTTCCATTGACGTCATGTTGAGCTGCAGAGTGACATGGGTATTGAAGACCAGAACTTGTCCACAGCCTTTGCAGTTTTAAGATTTAGAATAGAAATTCTCTCCATCCCCCACTCCCAAGCCCCTTCACTGTCAGCTCTCCTTTGGGGAAGTATATACTGATAGTTATGCAAAGAAGGTATATTTTAGAAATACAAAGAACCTATATTTTAGAAATCTGCTGGTTTCTTAGATGGCTTACGTGTGGCAGAAATGTGCTTTGACAAATACAAGCTTTTCCCCCCGGGGGTTGAGCTAAAATGAAAACTGCAGGCCTGGTTAGACCTGCACTTGGCAGGCAAAGAAGCTAATGTGACGTTAGTAGAATAGAAGCAATTTTGCTGTTGGTAAACAAAATGGTTATTGAGTCACACACACTAACTGTGCTGTTTCAAGCACCCTCTCATTGCCCCCAGCTTTGCTCAGGGGACATATAGTATTTCTGTGGCAGTTAAGGTAGAAGTACTTTACTGGAGCCAGATAAAGCAAAGTTGGAATCATAGAGCCACTGACCTAAAAATGATCTTAAGAAATCATTCCATTTACTTCCTTGTCTCCTGCCCTTCTCAGATACAGTGTAGTACAGTGGTTAAAAGGCAGGGCCCCTGGCCAGGCTGCCCACTCTGAGTGGCTCTCTGCCACTCGTTAACTGTATGGCCTTGGGCAACCCGTTTATCCCCTCTGTGTTTCTGTTTCTTCATTTGCAGTGCAGGAACAATGAAAAAAAAAAAGCTTACGGTACAGCATTACTGTGATGATTAAATAGAATAATATTAATAATGTTCTTATTATGTTGAAGGCACAACGTGATATATTGGCTGTTATTAGCCATTATTATTAACTTTTAACAAGAATAATCATTAACCCTCCCAGATTTGTAAGCTGTCACTCAGTTATTCTGCAAGGATTGTTTTGAGGTAAAGGCATAATGGGGGGGGGGGGCGGCATTTTAAACCTGTAAATGTTTCTTTTGCATTCTGAGAGTCTAGGTAAAGCTTGCGGAGACCACTTCCCCACTCCACAGTGGGGGAATTCTGGGAGACAGCTGCAGCATGTGGCTGCCCTGTGTGAGGAGGGGATTTGGGTTAGACCATAAAATTGAACTGGGTTATAGAAAGAGGTTTGTGGTTTATTCTTCACAATCATCATGAATTGGTTAAGCGTGACCCAGAGGTAGAGAATGAATGGGATAACTTTGTAGATGCCAACCTGTCTAAGATTCTGTAATTTTCAGAGGGCAAGTGGTGGTCTCCATAGTTTTGCCGCCCTTTTGGATCCATACACACAAAGAATGTATTTGGTTTCTGGGATCGTGAAGGTTCAAATAAGGGTGTTAAACAGTTGTTGTCAGTATCAAGGATTAGTCCCTCTCATCTTCCTCCCAGTGCAATATGCCAAGTATCCACATTAAAATGTGAAAACTATGTTAATCTTCCTATTGTACCTAGATTTGACAGGTCACATTTCAGTGAACGGCTCAACATTTCAGCTTTGGCGTAAATTGACCCAGAGTTCATATCTATCAAAGATCTTTATTCAGCCAGTTAGCACAATTCTGCATTTTCCACAGATATATCATTTCATTTATGGATGGTTCAAACTCCTCATTAGACCTGATAATTTGAGGCTCATAGTTCGTCCAGCCCAGCACAGGGCTGTGAGAGAGATTATACAGTATTTTCTTATTTCATTGACCTCCAAGGTCCGAGAATATGGTGGTTTCTTAAAATGTCCACTGCATTTATACTGTTAGGAATTTTTCCTAAGCAGTTCATAAAGTTATGCCTGCATTTTTTATTGGTGGGCATTCTCAGTTTTATATGATCATAACTTTCTACTGGAAACAGTAATTTTTATTTGTAAAAAACAAACCTCTTTCAAGGCTAGGGGATACCAGCCAGTCTTTGTGTATTGAAATCTGGTGAACAAGCTCTTGATTAAAGCCATTCTTTTTTGTACATTTTTGGAAGGCCCTCATTTTAGCCTTCTTCCCAAAATAAAGACTTTGATCTTTAAATAAAATGTATTTAGTAAAAGTATAGGAAATAATACTAATTTATTTGAAAATCACCTTGAACACTTCTAAGATCCCCTTTTCAGACAGTTCTATTAAATATTTCTTCAGGTTTGGTGACCAAAAAACATAGAGTCTTCTCCTCCATGATCTGAAAGTGCAAGGATTTTGTACCAGTTATTCATTTTCCTTTCAGCTCTCCTTTCTTCTAGATTCTGTCAGTTTTCAAATTAGACTCAGGTTTCTTACACTTTGAAACAAATAACTAAGCAAGCAAACAAATAATGAACAGCAGCAACATCAAAGCAAACTAAAAACAATCCTCTTTTGACCATACCTGATCCTTTAGGTATTGCTTACATTTCTTTCAACCATTCCAGTTTCTTCAAGGAGAAATCATCCACATTTAATATGTCTACCAATACATTGAAACTGTTCTCCTTCAGGTCATTTCCAACCCCCTATATGAGTTGGGAATTTTTGTCTTGTCTGATTGAACCCAACTCCAACTGGTTTAAACATAGTGGAGAACTCTTGACTCGTGTAACTGAAAATCCTGAAGTGAGTGCTGGCCGTAGGTAACGCTTAATCCAGTGCCTGAAATGATTCACCCAGAACCTGGCTTCTTTCCATGTCCTTGCTTTGCCTTCCATGTTTTGACTTTATCGTTAGGCTCCTCAGAGCCACTTATTCACCTTTCCACTCCCCACCTCTGCAGGCCATTCCAGACATCACAGTCATACAGTAAAACCTCAAGGAAAGACAGAGAAAACATTTTTTTTTTTTTCTCAAAAGTTCCCAGCAAATATCTCCTTCCCTCCCATTGTCTCTGTGTGGGGTTTTTGCTTATCACTGAGCCAATCATTCACTCTGGCTAGGGGTTCTGAATATGGGGATTGGCTAAAGCCAATCATAGTTCATCTTTGGAGATACGGAAAGGATCAATAAATCCAGATCACATGATAAAAAGTGGGGAAAGAGTGGTTTCCATGGCAAAGTTGGAGTGTGATTAATGACGAGAAAGGGGAGGGCCTTGGCAATGGCAACAGGAGCTGCTATCTTTGAAACAAAACATTTTCCTTTATAAAACTCAACTCCCTTGATACCAATTCCTTTTTGTCGTGGTTTCTATAACGTTCTGGTTCTCTGCATATTTCTCAAGCCATCTTACTTCAATTTTCTTTGTGGGCTCTGATTACTCTGCTCATCAGATAGCTTTCGTTTCCTCAGGATGCAGCCCTTCCTTTTGCTTGATTTGGTTACTCACAGCTTCAACTCCCTAGTTAATTCAAGGGGTTTCCTACTCTTTGAATGAGTTCCTGATAATGTGTCAGACGGTTGCACCTACAACAATCAAATATATTCTAGAAGGCATTGGGATATGTGTGTGTGAGAAAATGATTATAAATCCCCTAATTATACCCCTCCTTTTAGACATTATCTTCAACCAGAAGATATTTTCAAAATGTGTATCTTTTTTATTTAATTTATTAATTTTTCTTCATAATGGATCATTGCTTTCATCAGCTTAAATCCAGTGATGATCTAATAATTTCTGACTTTTATGATCCTTGTATTTCTTATTATTAATGTTAGCACTTTAATTTTCTTTGTATTTTCACCTATTTTTTGTTAACAAAACAATAAGACTAAAATCTAATACGTACCAGTAGCCAAATAGTTGCACAAACATTGTTGGGTGAAGATGTTGATCTTGCAGGCAGAACTAAACATGTAAGCACTGTCACCTCGTGATTGCTCAAAATATTCATCTGCTGAGAAACAAAGTTCGTATTTGACATATGAAAAGTGATTTATGGATTTTAGTGTAGAGAGGTGAAATGGATGAGGGCTCATTACATTTCTAGCCCATGCATATCCAGTAGCCTCTGAGGCACCTCCACAAAATGTCTTAAAGGACACCTCATTCTTCTAGCATCTCTACTGCATCGTCTGGCTTCTAGTTGTTAAAAATAGAAACTTGAAATTATACTTTGATACCTCTCATTTCATACACACTTTGCCTATTTGATACCCCATGTCATAAAACTGCCCTGCCCTCTCTAGACCTCTTGCCACTTAACGTAGTTCAGCTCTGTCATTTTTCAATTGGTCTATTCCAGTGGTCAGCAAACTGTGGCTCACGAACCACATGTGGCTCTCTCCAGCCACAGTTTGTTTATTGCTCTGTTGACTAATGAGTTTGTCTATCACTGGTCTATTCAATCACAGAAGCCATCTTATAGGTGTCCCTTTTTAAATACATCTTCTGTTCCAGAGGTCAGACTGTAAAGGGCCATGCAGTAAACACTATATAGTATGTAAGCCATATGGTCTCTATTGCACCTGCTTAACTCTCCCTTTGTGATTGTGTCACTGACACTATGTAAATGGATGGATGTGGCTGTGCTCCTATAAAACTTTATGCTCAACAAAAGGTATTTCACATCATTTTAATGTGTTACAAATATTACTCTTCTTTGATTATTTAAAATCCATCTAAGAAAAGTTAAAACTATTCTTAGCTCATAGGCTACACAAAGTCCCATAGGCTGTAATTTATTGACCCAAGTTCTACAGGGTTACCAGAATGAGCTAACCAAAATGTCTGAACATTTAATTTGTATGCTTAAACCCATCATCAAAGGTTTGGCAACAGGGGCTGAAAGATTAAGGTTTATCTTCCTTGAAATGGTCTCTTAATTCTTGCATGATCTGATCTCCAGCCTCATATCTACCCAATTCAAATTTTGCACTTCAGTCTTCAGGATACTGATCTTAGAAGTTCCCTGTTCACACTGAGCTATTTCTTTCTAAGTCCTTGACCTTTCTTCTTAGAATATCTTCCCCTTTCCCATGACCATTTTTTTCCTTCCTTCCTTCCTCCTTTTCTTCCCTCCCTCCCTTCTGGCATTTTATAATCTATACTAATAAAAAAGTAATATGCTGATTAGACTGGGTTGACCAGACCAGACATTTCCAGTCATCCTGTCTTCCTTCTGGACAAAGCCACATTCATAGGTGGTTGGGGCGATCAGGCCAGCAGGTAGGTGAGCAGTTAGGAGCTAGCAATCCTGGATTGCGAGAGGGATATACTAAACCAGCAATTGGACATCCCTTGAGGGGTCCTGGATTGGAGAGGGTGCAGGCTCAGCTGAGGGAGCCCTCCCCCCATGCACAAATTTCATGCACCGGGCCTCTAGTTGTATAAATAAAACAAAGCTGAATGCTGATAAAGGCTTAGCATGGATAAAGAAGGCAGCTGGAGAGATTCTGAAAAATTCTATGGGAAACTGAATTTTTTAGGAGCATCAGTTCTTTACTTTTTCATTTTCTCTTCCAAATTTATGCTTTTCTTTGCCATGATAAATGTTTACCATTAGAATATCTTTTGGGCTCATCAGTAAATATTATGTCTGTTTTGACTTAAATCTATCTAAATGATACATAGGCACACACCTTAGACACAAAACAAAACAAAACATAGAAAAAACGCTTAACCATTTACTTCTAACCTCCTTCAGCAAAATTTCATTTTATCTTAGTATTTTCTCTTGCTTTAGAAATGGTTTTTCTCTCTTTTGTTTTTGTTTTACTCTTCCCTTTTTCTCCATCATAGCCCCTTACCTATAGTGGGCCCTTTCTGCATTGAATTGGGGCTCACATTTGGGACCAATAGAATATTGTGGATTGTGTGAGACTTTTGAAATTAGTTAATAAATAAAAATATAAAAGACCAAGAAGCTTCTGCTAGGTCTTTTGAATCACTCACATTGTGAGGACATTCCTGTGGAGAATCTCATGTAGAGAACTGTGACCTCTTGCTAACAGCAGTGCCAACTTGCCAGCCGTGTGAATGAGTCACCTTAGAAGCACATCCAAGCTCAGACAAGCCCTTTTCCAATGACTGTGGGCTCAGTGACATTTGACTGCAGCCTCATGAGAGATCCTGTGCTGGAACTGCCTAGCCAAGCTGCTCCAAAATTCCTGACCCACAGGAACTGTGAGATATAACACTTGTTGTTTTAAGCCACTAATTTTTGGAGTAATTTGTCATGTAGGAATACAAAACTAATTCAATATATTGTCTTGTTGTTGTTTTTTAATTTCTTCACTGTGGGAACTGTGGCTCATGGAGAACTTGCCCATGTAGAAGAGGAAGGTGGAGGGTAAGCTCTTGTAGATTGTGAACATCATGAGCAGCCCTTTGAGGTTGGAAGAGGATGAATCTTGTGCTCTGTGGTGCCATTCTGCTTCCTGCAACTATATGGCTGAGTGGGGTAGAGGCATCAGGATGGGGAAGGACTGTCATTGAGTTAGGAAGGAAGTAGCTTTGATGATTAGTAGTTAGGAGACTCTGCCCATACTCTTTGCTCTTAGCTCTCCCTGTGTCTCTCTCTTCCTTACGTATGGCCCTGCTCCCACGATCTCTGTCTCTGCCCCTCTCTAACCCTCTTTAGCTCAGCCTTAACATGGTAACCATTGGTAACTTGGAAGAATCTCTAAACCAGATATCTATCAAGTGGCAAAAGAGTGTTGTTGCAGGTCCAAGAAGATGACATAAGGACATGGAGAAATATCAAGTTTTTGACTTTCAAGTCAACTTCCTCATAGAAACACTATTACATGGGTAGTTCATTTCTTTTGCTAGAAATTAATTTTAGAAGATGGTTTTAAAATGGCTTATATTTCTTATCTCTCATTGGGAGTTTGTATCCTGGGTTAAAAACTAGAAAGACTTAATAAGTAGGGTTTCCAAATAATTTATCATTTAAACTGAGCACTTCTGAGAATAGACTAGGGAGCTATTAATAACACCCCAGGACTATTCCAAATAAATAGGGATGTATTGCTACCCTACATAAGGGAATTTTAGGATAGAGCATATTTGAAAGCTGGAGATTACTTATACATACTTTATAATTTGGTGACAAGTTGTTTTAGGTAATGTCTTAATAATTTAAAAGAAAACACATGCATATCTCTGGGGCATACTTCTAACCAGTGAAAGGAAGAGGAACTCTTTAGCTTGCTCCTTAATCAGTGCTTTCAAATTACCAGCAAGTTTCTCTTGCCTGGTTCCCACATTTGGATTCTGTTTTTTATGCTGAACATTTGCACACTATCCAAATATAAACATCTTTAATGAAGCAGTAAGATATTGAGGTGAAACAATGTCCAAGGTGTGAATTATTGCACCATCCGTAATTCATACTGAAGTGTGACTTTTTGTGTTCGTAAAATGGCTGTTTGCCAAATTGTATTAATAAAAACCCGGGTAATTACAGCCCTAAATAATTCATATTGTCTCTAAACATCTATTTTTAAGTTGTTAAAAACTGTAAAATTAAAAACCCAAATAGTAAAAGCTCATCTTCAAATTCTTAAGTTTATTTAGCTAACTAGTTTTTATGCTAGATAGCTAGATACCCTTAAATATTTTGTTTTTTTTCTTAGTGATTTAAAAGAA